GAAAATAAAATAAATTCATATTTATAATAAAGGTCAATCAAATGGACCAATATGGCAAGGCCATGATGATCCACTTGGTAAAATAAATCCGCTTGGCATCTTTCTTGGCCTTAAGACAACAATTCTGATGGCTAAAGATCCAAACGGGACACGAAAAAAAAAAAAAGTTTAACTGACTCGACTTTATTTAAAAAACATCCTTTAATTCTTTCTTTTAACAGTGTGCTTGATTTCATTTGTAAAAGAGTGGAGGTTTTTTCCTTTTTTTTCTGTTTTGTTTTTTTCTGTTACTGCATAGAGTCCTATGAAATATGTGGCCCATGATTCAGTACCTTGTACATTCACATTTAGCAAAAGTAGCTAAAGATCAGCTAAATCTGATCTGTATGACTTTATCAGTCATTATTCAGTTTATTCAGGTTTAGAGGCATATGTTTATACACAGCTCTTTTATGGTTCTGCCAAGGTGTTTCAGTTGTGTTGAGGTCCAGAATTTGTCTGGGCCATTGCACCATAGCAACTTGGAAACAAAGTGCTAAACCATTGCAGGGGTCTGCATGTATTTGTCACTGACAAAAAAAAAAAATGCAATTTACCCAGCTTACATGCATGACATCCATGTTTTCCTCAGTCATCCCTGCTAAGTGCAATCCTGGGAGAGCTTCCTCGTGATACAGGCACACTGAAGGTCAAAGGTCAGCTAACCTACGCATCCCAGCAACCGTGGGTGTTCCCTGGAACCATTCGCAGCAACATCCTTTTTGGGAGAGAACTTAACCCAAAGAAATATGAGCAGGTCCTTAGAGCCTGTGCTCTGAAGAAGGTGAGCTAATGTGTTCTATCAAAACGGAATATTGTGTTCATGACAATGTAGAAATACTACTTGAGAAACTATGACTGAAAAGCTTCTAAAGCCTGAACTACTACTGTGGATTTCATGGACCCGGACTTTACAGAGAAGCAGATGCATGTCCACAACTCAGGCTTCTTCTAGTCATGATTCTGGGTTTTGTACCCAGCGTTTTTCAGCTTTGGAATCTCAGTTTTCAGTTTGATATTTTCTGTATGACCTTGTTGTAATTTTCTGTTGAATATTATGTTTGCTTAGGTTGTGTTTTCATTCTGATTTTATGTTTTGTATTCATAGTTTCTTTGTTAGTTATTCTCAGGTTTTTCCTTTCCTCTTATGTTTTTAATGCCTAGTCTGCTTTTCGATCATTAATACTTGTCCTGGAATCTCTATCTGTGCTTATAGTACAGGATAGCCTATTTTGCTAATATTCTGAAGAACAAAACCAAACTGCCAATATTTATCAAATGACTAAAATGTTCCCCTATTTTTGGCATTCACATTTATTTTTGTTACACGTACATTTTGTGCAGGACCTGGAGATGTTCCCAGATGGAGACCTAACACTGATTGGAGACAGAGGAGCCACACTCAGTGGTGGACAGAAAGCTCGTGTAAACCTGGCAAGGTACGACAACAGTCACAGCAGTTATGTCATTGTTATGCACAGGAGAGAAATCCATTTTTAGTATAATCCTCAACAGATTTGAATTCCTTCTCTGAGTTATTAGGCAGCCTAAAATAGAGGCAGCAATAAGCTATATGTTCGGGCAATTTTTTTAAACCTCCAGGTATGCACACTACTGTTGCTATAGTTGTTCTACTTCACATGCCATAATCAAAGCCCTTTTTTTTTTTTTACAGGGCTGTGTATGAGGATGCAGACATCTACCTCCTGGATGACCCTTTAAGTGCTGTGGATGCAGAAGTTGGAAAACATCTTTTCGACAAGTAATGACTGCTCACAATTATCTGTGTCCCAAAGAGATACCCATATGTATTCATACACATGAAGTATAGTATATTCTACATGCTACATATCTCTGTTTTATAGAAACGAAGGGAATTATTAATTGTAAGGTTAGATTTGAGTTTTCAATTCAACACCGGTCATTTCATGGCACTTTATACTGTAAAGTAAAGACCCAACAATACTGTCACTGATAAACTTAGAAGTGGGATTATTATGCTCACATCGAGCCATGATTTTTATTTTAGTTGCATTGCATGATTGGCAGTTCCAAATAAGCATTATTTAACTGTTACCAGTCCTTTTAAAGCCTCTCAGTTGACACAGAGATAAGGAGAAAAAGCCATAAAGATTTCTTTAAGTACATACTGCTGAGGTAATGCATACAGATCCTTTTCTGCTCTATCACAGCCACAGACTTTTTTCTTTTTTCCCCCTGTAGAAATATATTTTCTGCCACACATCCTGTTTGACCTTTTAAATGTTCTCTTACTCAAATTTTACACAAGTCAGCTATAAATGTGTCATAGTTCCAATATTGTAATCACTTTAAACAAACGCAAACAATGAATCTGGATCTTGAGGACTGAGCTCGCATTACACAGCTGCGTTGTGTCGTGCAGTATGGACCTATATGAGATTTTTAAAAGGAGAAAAGTTCCACTTCTTAATTATGAAATGTGTACACCTGTCTGCTTATGATCAGGTGTATCTGTGGCTTGCTGAAGAACAAGTGTCGTATCCTGGTCACACATCAGCTGCAACATCTGAGGGAAGTTGACCAGATCCTGGTCCTCAAGGAGGTTTGTACTCCTGCAAAAGAAAATTGCTTGAAGGAAGCCTGCCTCCTGCTTCTTAACCATGCCATTACAATAAATAAAGCATTCCCACAACAGAATCCTGCCAAGTCGGTCAGACTTGGCCTGACATGGTGACAATAACCTGATCAGCTGCGACATTAAAACCACAAAAAAGGTTCTCACCCATTCAGTAATGAACCTGGGCTGTTTATGTCACAGTATGGCTGCCGACGGACAGCCGACTGTGAGGAGTGAGGACGTGGAAGTGCAGACATGCAAAGAGACAAAACTTGAGCATAACAAAAATGAGCTGTTTATTAAGGCTGGCAAAATGGTACAAAACAAAAGGCAAAGACGAAAGTAAACAATAACCTAAACTGGGTGAACTAAGATTAAAACATGACCTCACAAACCTTGAACGTTTAGACCTGGCATGGATTCCTAGAAAAACCTGGAAACATGACATGAACATAGCAGACGACCCCCCACTGGAGGTGATCAGGGGAAGTGGAAACACATAGGGACACAGCTGACACAACTTAGAGAACCTAATAAACTTAAACATAAACATACTCAAAACATTGGGCCAGAAGACCCAGAATCATGACAGTTTAGTGGTTTCATGCACCTGGACATTATCGGTCCTGTGGGTTGCCTGCTGGGGCTTTGGCTTTTTAAAAGAATGTTTGGGGCTGGTTTAGCTGTAAACTGGGCAGCTCTAGTCCATTAGATGTATTTGCACTTGTTGAGAACCTGTTGTTTAGATGGTGATATGTGTATATAGGACCACGAATGCCAGGATCCAAGGTTTCTCAGAAGAGCTGTCTTACACTGTAAGGATATAACTGCTACTCATCTGTCTGTGGTTTTAATGCTGTCGCTTGTGTCAGTGTTAGTCATAATCCTATATATGTATATATGTGTCAGAGTATTTTTGCTTTTAAAGGTTTTATTATTCATATAATAATCAGCTAAGAGTGTTTATATTTCTCTTCTGTACTCAACCAGCTGTGTATTTTAATTGCTGGCTCCCTATTTTATAACGGAAACTGTTTGCCTTCACATTGTCACTGTTTGCCTTCACACTAGCAGGAAACCGCCACCCACGAGTAAGAAACAACCTTGTAGAGAACACGAAGTTTTTTGATAAACCACACCTGTTTTCTTGACAAGATAAGGATGATATTTCCTTTTTTGTATGCTTCATGATGTGTATAAATAAAGCCAGACTGCACCAAGGAGGTGTGTGAGTCTCTCCCTGAGTCTCTCACCCGTGCACGTTTAAAACTGCTCTAAGTGTCTGAGTGATATTTCATTGCATCTGAGTACTTGATAATAGAATATCTTTAACATTTAATTGGTCCTTCTGAGCCGGAGTGGACATTGATATTTTTTCAATGCTCCAATAGGAGACCTTCGTCAAGTCCTGACGTCGTGAGAAGCCCACGCTGTCGACTCCTCTCCAGGCAGAGGATAAAGTCCAGAGACGTGACGTTCGGGTTCTGGCCAGCGTTCTTATAAGAGGTCCACGACTTCAGGGGTTGATGAAGGAAACCAAAGCAACCACACAATAACTCAGGTGAATATTTAGCACTCACTCACATCTTGCGCAAAACGACTGAGGCAACCTGTGGTCTGTACATAAAATAGTTTCCCGTCAAAATATGACAGCTTAGTAACAGTCTCGTCTGAAAAAGGACTGGTAGAAAAGTTACGCAGCTCGCCTGAAAGAGGGCTTGGAGCAAGCTTTATGTCAAAATACGACAGGATAGTAACATTCTCGTCTGAAAAAGGACTGGTAGAGAGTTACACAGCTCGCCTGAAAGAGGGCTCGGAGCAATGTAAAAAGACACAGAGTTGCCCAGAATAAATACTCATTACGCGTATGATCTGTTGTTTTACTGTTTTGTTGGTGGAGTAAGTTGATTTTACAGCACATTAAGGAGGCTGAACTACTCCACCGAATTGTTTACCGTTGGCTGCTCGAGTTCTGGTGGAACGGGAAAAGGTTGTGTTTCATCACATAAAATTGACACCGCTTTCAAGGCTAGCTTGAAAGTAGAAGGCCGTGTCAATAGCCTCTCCCATTCCTCGTGCCAGAGAAAGCACCACGGGTGTGTATGTGTGTGTGTAAACGCAAATATATTTATAAATAATAATAATAATAATAATAATAATAGGAAAAAATAATAATGGGTAATAAATCAACAAAACTCACTGCTGACGAGCAGTGGCTAGAGAAAAATGTCCAGGCGCCGGACAAACTGCAGTGACTGATAAAACCCTTATTAAGTGAAAACTAGAGATCAAAGTAGTTTAAAAAGGTTGGAAACAGACCTCAACGAATAGATATAAATATAAGAAGTACAAAAATAAAATAAATAAAGACAAAATTACATTAGAACTTATTTTTAATGTATTGAAACTAATAATAGGAAGGATAACAACCTGTAAACTTATATTAACAATGAAACATAGTTGGCAAGACGTTCATGCCCAGAATGTATAAAATAAATAAAAGGAAATAATTCACACGAAAACCTTTTAAATAAAATAGAGAGATGCATAAGGTACATTAAGGCTGTGTCATTGGTCAGCCAAGGAAAGTGTGTGAAAAAGGTAAATGTCTCCAGCTTGGAAAAAGGTGAAGCTGCAGATCACCCGAAGCTCTCTTTCTTTTTTTTTG